GTCTGAATGCTTGCAACTGTGTATATCACAGCAACATCCCACCCTGCTTGTTCTGAGATGCTTACGACAATTGGATGTTATACTGAACTCAGCTAAAACGGCCCTGTGGAGTTTTCCTGTGAACAAACTCAATATTATGTTTATATTCAGTATTTCTTACCAACACGCAAAGTGTGAATCTGTGAAGTCTAACAAATGTGTTGGTTTCATTTCCCTCCTCTTGCAAAGGTCATTTTATAATAGTATTTTTAAATCTGTACTTTTCACAGTCATCTTGATCTACCAGTAGCCGCTCTCTTCTACTCCTTCACAGGCACATTTCTGTTTCTTTACATATTACCATTAATAGTGGGGTACAGGATGTGTGCTTATGTGTGGATAATGCAACCGAAATGGGGACGCCAATGCAAAAACTTTCAACAATTGTGCTGTAAGGGGTCAGAAATTCCAGAGGGCTTCTATTAATTACATCAGTGGATCACCCTCTCAGTTTCTCACTCATTCACTGCTCTATGCTTGTGAGGACACTCACTGACCAAAGTCCTCGATGTATACCTCAACCACTTCGCCCAAACGTAGGAAACCTTTTTCATATCAAGGGCTATTTTAGTTTTTGTAACATCATTTGCTGACCAAAACTATTACATTTAAATACTTGTTTTTGAGGCTAAACTTTTTACAGCCACCAATTTTGTTATGTTTTTGCCCATCTCTAGGTTTGTTTGCTGGGAAGATTATGTAAAGCATGACAAATGGATTTCCACAAAACGTTTTGAAAGGATGGGCCTAGAAAGAATCTGAACATTTTAACCAATATCCCATGGAGTAATTTGTGGATCTAGATGGGAAGAAATTGTGAAATTTGGTGCAGCTTGATTGAATTTTAAGGGACTATGGGGCCTTGGTGGCTGTATGCAGTGTTGTAGTTGTATCCGTGGAGGCTGCAAACACATATAAACTTTATTTACTTATTTGATAACACACACATCTCTTTAATGATATGGCTGGAACTGATTTTACTTGGTAAGGCATCTGCTGTTGTGGTGGTGGTGATGATGATGATGATGATGATGATGATGATGATGATGATGTTCAAACCTGGTTTTAGTCAAACCAACCTGCACAAACAAATCCTCACCTTTGATAGTGCGATGCATGATTTACAAAGACCCTGACCCTCCCTCGTTTCAAACCCTGCATGTGATCGCACACAGAGAAATGGCGAGTTGGGCGATATGTCTCTCTCTCTCCTCTTGTCGCTGCTGCTGGATGTTTTGCGTTTCACCTCAGTCCCTGATGCTCTCGTTGGCTTCCACCTCCTGATCAAACCATGAGTGTTGAAATGTTGAAATGTTGAGCACAGAATTACCATGGCACATTCAGTATAAACTGAATTTACTGTTGGGTCCCATCCAAACCACCATATGTTGAGGAGCCTTGTTTCTCCAACCAGAGCGTGACTGATTCTGTTAATGTAGTAATGCTCTAAATCAGCGGAGTGCTAACTCTCTGCAGCAAGGGGATGAAGACCTTTAACACTCTGATGTTAGAGTCCCGTAGACATTCAGGAGGTGTCTCGCAACACAATGCAACAGCCGTCATGAATGTTGGACACACAAGCACCGGCAGGAGGAACCTTTTAATGTTCGTTCTCCTACCTGTTTGAATTGGAACAAGTAGATTAAAACCATGCAGGACAAAGTTTCAGTGACACTCTTTGTCTCTCTCTTGACAAGAAAAAAAAACATTACCAACAAATGGGACCATGTGTAACAATCTAGCTGCCGTAGGTGGTTTCACATGGTACCTCCAAATAGCAGCAACTGTTCGCAAAGAGTCAGTTTCTATTGAAGTCTATGAGAAAATGACCCTATGTCTCCCTAGATTTATAAAGTCAATAAACATTTTCAAGACTTCTTCAATACAGCACGATGTTTTGTAAATTATTGAGAGCTACTACCACTGCCCCCCACTCCTTCAAATATGGTTACTCCTGGTTTCAAAAAGCCAAGATGGCACTGGACAAAATGCCAAATTGAATTGCTTTAAAACAGCAATTCACAAACCAGTGGAAAACATCAGGGTAGATTTCTGCTTAGAAGACACAAGCACATCTCCAAATAAATGCTAAGTGGTGCTATGTTTCTTTTGGATGTGTAAATAAGCAAATATATGGGAAGCAAGTTATGAATTGAAGTGAGCAGAAAATCAGATGTTGCAGGTTTGTATAAAAGTCTTTTAACTGAAGAGCATGGAGGTCACACCTACAAACCTACTCATGGCCTGTTCATGTCATGTTAGGAAAAGCTATGATACTAGGGAGGGATAGTTGGGATTTACTTAAAATGTTCTAATACTAGTGCTGATAAAATCTTACTTTCATCAATAACATATTTCAGGAAAATAAGAACCCCTTTTAACTTGACAAAAGAAGTCAAATTTGTTCTAATTTTTATGTTGTCTAAACAAGCAGCTGCATATGCAAGACATTTCCCTGAAATAAAAATGTCTAAAACTTGGCAAAAGACACACTGGGAACATCTTAAGTCTGAACAGGTGTTTGCTACCAGCTTTCAGTAGCTGACAGTTGTTTGAGTTGGTTCTTATTTTGGACCTCAGTACTAAAGAACTATTGAGATTCGATTGCCAACTTTAGCATCAGGTGAATAGTGTTTTGTAAAAGACAAGATCAGTGGAACTTCCATTTCACAGCAGTGAAGACATGTTTTAGTGGTTATTTAAAAAAAAAAAAAAAATTCATTCTGAAAAACAATGGTGGCTTTATCAGCAAGTTTTAGTAAAACAGTTTACAGACAGAGAATCATTGTGTGGGATCATCTCTGACTTCTTTAACTCATTTGCATGATGAACTCTTTTGGCATCCTGCACTGTGGAACACAGCACTGAGCTTTGAAAGAGCCTATGTGTTTTATATGCCGATGACTCTGATATGAGTGTGAGAGGGAGCATGTGCATCCATTCAAGGCTTCATTGACCAACTGCCAGTCCAACCAGAGCTTCATGACAATGTTTTTATTTGGTTGTTTGTGCGTTTTGTGTGCCTGCACACACGTCGAGTTTTAATTAAGAGATCCCTGACGTTAGTCATCTTCGTGTCACTTGTGGCCATCTTGACTGAGTTACCCCTGACTCGAGGCAGGGAAGCACTTGGCTTCACGTCAGCAGGCCTTGAAACTTTCATACTGAAACACAGTTGTATATGCTAATTGGTGGGGACGCTCAGCCAACAATTTGTGAGGGAAAAAAAAAGGAGAATTCAATAAACACAATGGTTTGTGTTGCTTGAAAACAGACCAGAGTTAAAAGACATCTTGTCTTTTGTTGGCGGCTGTGAGTGAAACCAGCGTCGTCCCCTGGCTATACGAGGCTGTTTGTGTAGCTCGCTTTGCCTTCTCTCTGCTTCTTTGTGTTTCCGCTGTGACCCGCGACAAGACAAATGCTGTGGAGACTGTGGACACATCAGCTGTAGGAGGGATATGTAAATAGAAGTTCCTCATGACATGGCTCACTAAGTTCCCCTGTTTTTTCTCTCCTCTTTTGTTCACTCTTGTGACCTTTTTCCCATATTCCAAAACACTTCCTGCTTGTCCTGTTTACTCTCCCTCTCCATCTGTTACTAATGTTGTAATCTCTTTCTCCTTTGTTAATCTTTTTTTTTCTCTTTTGCTTTTTCATCTGTTGCCCAAATCCTGATATTTACTGAATGTTTTTCTGCCTATTTTCACATCTCACCCATTTCCTTCGCCAGTACCTGTCTGTGTCCTCCCTCACATCCATTGTTTTTGGTGGGTTTATTAATAATAGCTCTTTGTGTGTGATAACATTGTCAATAACATCGTTAGGGGATAATTGAATTTGAGAAATTGAGTTAGGAAAAGTTGGAACAGGGGCGCGTGGCCACCTACACATGAGTGTGTAGGGATATCGGCTTTCCCCTTCACAATTATTTCCTCATACACTCCTCCCTCCCTCTGCTCACACTCTTCACTCTTGTTCATATTTTTATTATATTTTTGCTCATATTCAAAAAACCTCTTTTTCCTAATATTCAGGTTGGAAGGATAAAATATCTGATTAAAATAAAAGTTTCAAAACAGGCTCAGTTGTGCAGGCTTGTGCCTAAGGAATAAAACACAATAAAATAAATGTTGACGGAGAATAAAACCCTTCACCACAGTTACTTTTGGTTTTTACATGGACGTAAATCCACTTTACTGAAATTACTGAAGAATTATTTTGGATGAGAGGCGAAACATCTTCAGGAATCTTCTTCTTCTCGACTCTGCTACTATATTAAATCATAGAGTTTCCACCCACAATTTAAGTATTATTCTTTCCCCTTAAATTGATAAATCACTAATAAAATAACAGTTGAATCTAATCAATTAATGAGGTCACTGTTTTCCCAAAAGGCTTGCTTGCATAAACGTATAGGAACTGATGGTAAATTCTAAGAGGATGTGTAATTTCATTATTTGATTAATATTAAAACGTTGTGCTTTGACTGGCTGGACCTGGCGGACATATTCATTTGGATTTGTTTATTTTTCCACACATGGATATTTTTTTCCTCCACTTCTCCTGCAATAATATTTGGCAATAAGTCGGTCCTGTGGTATTTTTACTGTCACCAGTCAGGCTTTGCCAGAGAGCTCTTCATATATCACTGGATCCTGCAGCTGTGGCAGCCAACAATTATTCCTCAAGAGAATATTTATAATCTAATAGGATTTCAACATGTCACTGATGGCGAGGATCCCATTGTAAAACTGATTATTCTTCCAATGCTGTCAGTAGGAAAATGAGTTGCTGATCCAGCATTTAATTTCAGAGTGACACTGGGTCACAGCTCTGCAAACTAAAACAATACTAACATATCAAGGATGTACTAGTCTCCTTGTGTTAAAAACATTGCAGAATATATGTAAATGATGTACCAACTGAAGTGCAGGTTATTAATAGTATCCCTCCTTTTCCAGTGAATGGTGCCTTCTGCTCGGAGAAGGATGTAGACGCTGAGCTGGGTGACGCTGTGGACACCCTGATGCGATGTGGGCAGAGCCTGCCACTGTCAGCGGGGGTTCATTCAGGGGGGCTATATCCCCAGAGCCTCCACTGCGACAGACCTACCCCCGACCTCCTCCTGCAGGACGGCCCTCACCAGGACGCCAGGTAAACTGTCACTGTTATTCCTTTTTTAGAATCATTTTGTTCCAGTTTCGAATGTTTCCTGTTTGGTATAGTATTACTAACAATATGCAGGTGCAATGTGTTTTTCATTAGCTGTGCTATTGTGGAATCAGATGCGCATGTATATGACCTGAAAGCTGTACCCCGTCTTCATAAAACACACCGGAGGGGTCCAAAGTACAACATTTATGTTCCACTAATGTGATTCTTCTGTTGTGCAATACTCGACTACTGTTGGTCAAGTCAGGAGGAGTTTCCAGTGGATTTCTATGTTGTGGGGTTTGTCCCTCGTCTTTCTCCTTCTCCTTTTATTCCCTCTGTCCTCATTCTGTGCCTCTGGACAGATGTTCACTCATTGCATATTATTTCTTGATATTTTCCCCATAGCCAAACAAGAAATGGTATTCCTGAATAGAGGTAGAATGAGGAGGGGAGGTGGGTTCAACTCTTTATTAACAGCAATGATGACAAAGTCTGCCAGTGGCTTTCTCCAGATCCAAGTTAGCATTAGCTCCGTTTTTCCCCCAGTGTGCTGAGGGGAAGGGACAAAGACGATTCCTTCATGAGACAGGCTGCAGAAAAAGAGAGCTCTTCTCACATCACTCAGGGGCTTTGGACAAAATCCATAATGAGCCAACTGACAGGAATGATTATGTAGGAGATCACAGCAACGCATGGAGAAACCTGACCTGGGGTCCCCATTCAGCAGGGAAAAGATTCCCACCATAATACACAGTATTGTAAACGCTGACCCTTCATAGGCTGCAATTATGCCACCAAAACAGGTGACTCCCTATTTATCCCCAATGTTGGGTTGGGTTTAACCCCTTTGTGTCATCAAAGCCCATCAGATGGACACACTAGCCAGTGGCCTCTCTGTCTCAGTCGCCATCCCTCCCCACCCCCGCTCTATTCTTAGTTATAAATACCCATTCATATCGTCTCACTATGAGAAGATCCTATTTCATTTATTCATAAAAGCACTTTGGGTCACCAGCAGTGGATGTTACCTGGTGTCCAACATCACCTTAATTCATAACAAGGCCAGCACAGTGTTAATGTTTGTGCCATAGGGTCCATTACAGTGAATGAAATGTTTTAGGCCAGCGGGACTAATTTGAGATGACATGGTTTTTATATGAACTGAGATAAATATTTGAGGAGGAAGCAGAAGGCTAAATTCTGACAGTGCTGCTGGTGGGAAGGATGACCAATCTGCATCTGTCATCAGCCTACGAGCTAATGGTGCTCATATTCCTCTCTCTGTGTTTTTCTCATTATAGATCCTCCTCTGCCTTCCAGACGACCCTGTCAGGGGCCTCACCTGGCCTCGGCTGCGGCAGTGCCAGTGCGACTCGCTCCTCTCTCCCTTACCTAATCAAACAGGAGAGCTCAATGGGCTATAAAATCTCCAGCACAGGGTTGAGAGTCAATAGCACGTCTCAGGCCGGGTTTCAGATCTGTAGAGTAGGACAAGGTTTGGGGGTGCCAAGGGACATGACAGTTGGAGCTCCGCATGTTAGCAACAACGGTAGCGGCGTATGTGCAGCAGGCGGTGTAGGTGGTGCTGCGTCAAGAGACGCAATGCAACCGTTTAATAATGAAGATGGCTCCTCCCCACTGGCTTTGTCTCCAACTGGCTCCCGTCATTCAGCGCGGCTGCTCAGTGCGAACAGTCTGAAGAGACACTGCCTGTCCCTGGCCGCGCAGTCTACCGCTGCTGCTGGCACGGGAAGTGTTGCCGCCACTAGTTCCCCATCAGGTACTGGCGCTGATTCCGAGGAGATCAATATCACCGCCATCATTTGCTCCTCCTCCCAGATGTCGATGGTGGCCTGCATCAACGGGTTGCGTACTAACCTCTCACCAAGCCACACCAGAAGTGCCGGCTTCTCCTCCTCTTCCTCCTCCTCTTCTACGTCCCCACCCTCTAACTCCTGCTCACAGGAAGCCCTCCAGAGGCCCCCGCCTCACGGCAGCCCCCAGCAGCCCACGGTACAGGAGAGCTGTCATCTGTCCTCACCTGCCACCTGCCTGCTGTCCCTATCTGCCTCCTCCTCCACATCCTCCTCTTCAGTGTCATCAGAGGAGCCGGAGCAGGGCCGGGGGCATAGCCAGGGGCTGTGTGAGGAGCCGGGCTCCATGCTGCAGGGGCGTGGGGCTGGAGGAGCAGCCGGGGGAGGCGTGGGAGGCTCGGACGGGCTTGGGCTACTGATGAGTGGGGCCCTGATGTCTGGGACATTGCATTCAGGGCCCGAAGCTGGGGTCCTCCTGGACGGAGGCCAACGATCGGGGGCTGCCCTCAAACAGGAGCCCCTCGATGATTTCTCTCCCAGTGAAGACGAACTCTTTCAGCACCACTATCACCATCATTTGAGTGGTCGCAGTGGACACCTCCGTCACCCCCACCACCCCCCTCGACCTACCATGCCTCCGCCCTACCACCTGCACCAGTACGTGGGGCCCAGCCCTGGGGGCCTGCTGCACAACCTGAGCCAGCAAACAGCACCGGCCCCATCTCTGGGACACAAGCAGACCTCTGGAGGAGCTCCTGGACCTCACACAGCCGCAGAGCAGGAAGAGGCTGTTGGGGGAGTGCTGGGTGATAAGCAGGTCTGTCGCTGGATTGACTGCAGCGCTGCGTACGAGCAGCAGGAGGAGCTGGTGAGGCATATTGAGAAGGTGCACATCGACCAGCGCAAAGGTGAAGACTTCACCTGTTTCTGGGCGGGTTGCATTCGCCGCTACAAGCCGTTTAATGCGCGCTACAAGCTGCTCATTCACATGAGGGTCCACTCTGGAGAGAAACCCAACAAGTGTATGGTGAGTCATCATGAACCACTGAAATGATCCACATACCACTCACCAAACAAAGTGGTCACTTACATATATTCATTACACATACAATCAGTAGTGTTGAAAAGCTCCTCCCCATCAGACCTCTTATTTTTTCATCTTTTAAAAGTTTGAGGTTGTATTTATTGTTTTATTTTGAGTCTAGTTTGTCTCAGAATTACAGCCACCTGTTAAAAATGTTTGAATTAAACACAAAGGAAAAACAGTCTATGCAGATTAATGTTACTCAATAAGATACGTGTAGATCGCGTCCAAAAACAAGACTGGACTTGCTTCATTGCTGATTACTTTTCAACAGAAACTTATGATTGTAATTCCTGTATTTTTAGCGGAAAAAAAAATTCCACTGAAGATGTTGAGCTGCTGTAAGAGTAGCACTACCTTGTTAGTATAAATAGATCTTGTGGTTGTATTCTTTACAGGTAAGGCTCCCATTCCTCAAGTCAACACACTAATCAACGTCAAGCTGTCATTTCCCCCACGTCCCTTAGCAAATGGAAAAAGCCCTCCAACCTTAAGAATGACTTAGTCCAAATACACAATTAGTCCACAATTTGTGTAGGGCGATCCCGTGTTTATTTTCACCAGCGCTCTTGTTTTTTGAGTGGGGATTCAGATCATGAAAAGCCAACACATATGGTTAACATAACCAAACAATGCCTACACTTGATCCGTTTAAATGGGAGCTTTAAATGTTTAGCTGTCCCACAAGTATTAAGTGAATTGGCCTCATGTCCAAGCAAAACATGGGGAGAAATGTAGTAGTCTGGAGAAGGGAGCCGCAGAGGGAGCGTAGGTAACTTTTGCTATAGTCTTGCTTAATTCACGGCTTCACCCGAAAGCCCCTGTCAGAAGTGTTCCTCCTCAAGCTCAGGAGCCACGTCCAAATCCTAATTACTGAAAAACTGAGTGTGCAATATTGTTGCAGCACCTGTTTTATCTCAAGGCCCTTTTTTTTCCAAAGGTCAGGTTTATTTTTCTAAATAACTTGTATAACAGTGGCTTTGGAAATGAGATGCAGTGAGAATCATTTTAAAAGGAAGTTATATTTTATGTGTTGAATAAGAGATTCTGATCACATCTGAGCTGAACGCTGAGCAAAGCCAAAAGAACACAGACTCAGCTGTAGTTGTTCTCGTTGCTTTGCGTCACTCTCGCAGCGAAGGCAGTCAGTGTAAACTGAAGAATTTGGAGGTAATTTGCTGCCATATGGAGTGTGGACAGAGAAGAAAGGTTTTTAAGGCGAACGTAAAAAGCTGGAGCTCTTATTAGGATTTTACTACTGAAACAAATCCTGCTTTTCTCAACAGAAATTTGTGGAATCAACCTTTTTACGTCTTCTTGACCATGGAAATGTGTTGTACATGAGCTCATTCTCTTCACATGCTGAATAGCGTTTATCATGGGGCACTGAGATTCATTGCAAATTGTCATTCTCTTACTCACCATTGACTCAAAAGCAAACTGGTCTCCCTTATGTGTGCGTCGCCTCCATCGTTGGTATGTGTTCATATACAAAACCATTTACTGCTCCCAACTATTTATCTTCGTTTTTAAATTGGAATCAGGTTATAGTATTTGTTCTCTGGACAGTTTGCACATTGAGTAGTTGTTTTCAAACTCTGGAATATATTGGAAAAATACACTTTTTTCGGCACCTAATGCATGGAATAGGTTACAGGCTGATTTTCTGCCTCAAAACTTATATAACATTGAACGAGTTTAAATCGCTGGTAAAATCTCTTTTAATATTATTAATCTATTCTTCTGTTATTTACTTCTTCTGTTGAAATGATATTCCTGCTTGGTCCCTTGTAAAAGAGATCATGAAACTCATTCAGGACAAACCTGGTTAAGTAAAGACTAATATATGATAAATAAATAAAAAAAGTTGAACATGCCCGCCCCATCTGTTAACTTTAGGTGTATTGTATTATATGTTCTCCGTTGTTGTTCCTCTTTGGAGCATTGTGCAGGTTATGTCTTTACTCCATTTGGTACCTTAGTTACATTTGGTTGACACATGTTTGTGTGTATGTGAACGTGTGTGTGTATGTGCATGTGTGGAGATGTTTGCCATATGTTAACACTGGAAACATTTGGCTCAGTGTGGACGAGCCGCTGGATTCTATCTGCGTACATGACGGGCTGTGAAACTCTGCTACACATCCTAACTAATTACCCTCATATCAAACACACACACACATATTCGCAGCCATGCGGCAACTTGAAAATGGGGATATTGTTTCCATTGACGCTCACAATAGGAAGTATTGATTCGTGTACAGTACGTTGGGTTGTAACACTCCTTCTTTTTCCGACATAAAATAAACAGAAATGTGAAATGTTTTCAAGCTTGAATCAACACGTCTAATCAGCGGGGATTGAATTTATGTTGAGCTGGGACTTCAGCAGATAAACGTGGAGGGCCAGAGAAAATAAACATGCTCCTTGTGTGTATTTGTAAGTGTGTTTGTGTTTGTATAGAGTCTATACAGATTTCAGTAAGTGCTCTGTACTTAAAGGAAACAGTGTGCGTCTGAAAGTGTGTGCATCCTCATGTGTTTCAGTCATGTCCCTCCCAAGGCCTTATTTTTTCCTCTGAGCTCGTGTGCGTTTTAGCCAGTTGCACTATCACTTTGTCGCTCGTGCAGTAGACAAAGACACTAAAGAATTTGAGCTATTCACATGGAGGAAACAGATGAGACATTCTGTTTTAGGACCAAATGCCCTAGAAAAACCAGGGCTAATCTCTTTATTATCTTTCCAGCAGCAGACTCCAGCATGTGCTCATGAAGCAGGGCTCCCCTCACATCCAAACATAACACATCTCTCTCTCTCTCTCTGTACACATATATATATATATATATATGTTTGTGTGTGTGTATATAAAACAGCTGTATAGAATTTGCTTCATGCTACGTTTTGGCTGTAAAACGTCATTATCACAAATCATGTGTGTCACAGACTGTCCTTCACTAATATTTTCAGAAATTCTTCATTAGACAAAATTAGTTTCTTCCACATGTAGATGTCTGAGGTAAAACTTCTGCTGCTTCGGTAGAAAACATGTTCAGTTCCCTCTCCTTCCCAATTAAAGGCGGCCCTGGGCAGTTGTGCAGGGCAGGCAGGCAAAGACGGACATAAGGGCGAAAAGGAAGCAACATAATCTCTCTGCAATATCCTGTTGTGTTTCATGCCTAATTCACTTGTTGTTTTAGATTATTGCATTTTTTTCCAGTGTCTGCATAAATATTAAAAATATATCCAGCAAGAGAAGCCCTGACATGGTCCTAGACTTTGATATTGTTCAGAGCCGCGGCCCGGCGGATTTTAAGCATCTGAAAGCCGCGCTGTGAAAAAATACCAACTCAGTGAGGCTGCAGAGAGGACACAAGCGTTTCCATGGCAGACTCACTTCAGGGAGGAGTGCAGTGTTCTCCACTTTATTTGGTTTGTTTGGATCAGCAGACTCGGTCACATATCAGGGGAAAAAACGTACTCATAAAGTTAAAATTTACAAAAACAAAAGAAGGCTGTGCTTTAATTTGTGTGAGAGGAGGTTATGTTGTTGTGGGATGAAGGATGTAGTCAGCAGTTCGAGGTATTAAAAATGATTTAGTGGTTTCACTGTATTTATATAAAAGAATTCATAGTAAGAAGCTTGTAACAACAACAGCACAGTTTGGGTGTATTATGTGATGTAAAGACCAATGGTAATATTTTATTTAGACAATGTTTCGCTTGGATGCAATTTGAAGGCTTTATTTAAAATTTTATTTTTGCACCTGGCACCTCGACAAATTTATAGAGGCATGCTCATTAAATTTTATGTAAGTAACATAAGGTGATCTTAATGTGACTTATGCCCATAGGAATTTTCAGCATTACATTTCTTTTATTTGATTGACGTGACTATTTTTTCTCCCATAGTTATTTAAAAACAAACAAAAAAAATCCACAAAGATGTAGATAAACATATTTTAGTGTTCATCTTGTGTTTTGAGCAAAGATGTGGTAGAGAGCCACCTGCCCGTTTAACAATGATAAAACACAGCTGGCATTAGCAGCTCACTGGGGCCCTGTCCAAAAACATGCACATGTGAAACCGTAAAGACAAACATCAAAACACTCACACTCACTGACACACTCAGTCAAACCACTTGTTGAAGGAAAGTTGGATGTTGAGACCCTGGCGTAGATCATGGAATTTCCTCTTTTTTTCTTTCATTGGTGTGAAACCAGCAAACATATATATTTAGATTTACTAGACTGATTTTTGGAAGAGAGCGAGTGGCAAAATCCCTCAGCAGCAGACGCTGAGACCTTGAGTGGCGGCCGGTGCCAAGATGGCGTGCGTTCAGGGGTAAATGGAGTCTTTTGTGAGCAATCAGCTCAAATGCAGGAGATGAAACAGGGAGTGCCATTAACTAATTAAAACTGAGGCTCAGCTGCACATGACCTGACTTTTCCTCTGAATGCCACCTGAAACTGGAGCGGCCTGGGCACCGGGCGCAGGTGGCGAGTGACGTTGATATTAATGTGTTTGTACCCACGTGAGCTTCTGACACTCAGGCCTGTCTGGACAGTGTAGCGGCCATGATCTCTGAGTTCATAACTTCAGAACCACTGGGGCCCAGAACTACCTGAGGTGAAGCTGATTCACTTGCAGATAATCCTACAGAGCACCCGAGACTCAGAAGCAAACACAAAAAAATGTTAATACTGCAAAATGTTTGCTTTTCAGGAAATAAGAAAATGTAAAAGTAAAGGAGTTTTTCTCATTCTGTAATGGACAACAGGAGAGTTCCCCATAAGTAATGCAAAAACATCTCGAGTTCCCCCTTGTGGCTGGCTGCAGTGTAGCTCATAAACACCTCCTCCATGTTAATGGGTGGATCTTGGATGCGACAAAAAGACCGATTTTTTTTTTAAAGATGGTTTCTGTCATTTTAGGTTGATGTTAT